CCTATTATTCATTTAGCAATCATATTATTGTACATCTAACTATTGTCTGTGACAACCAAAATTGAAATAGCTGTATGGTTACAGTATATTGTATATATATACATATATATTCAATTTACAATTTGTTCTGCTGTATGCAGTATGCGTTTTTGTCATATGAAGTAAATTGAGTTTATATAAATGATGACATATATATGTTGGAGGGTCAGGAGAGTGTGAACATACTGCAACTCGTGCCCACTTTAAGAAAACTATAAGTTCAACAAAATTCACATTTGTGATGAATTGTATATTCATTTGGTACAAAGTCAAGAATATTTTACAGGCCCAAAAATATTTATCTAATCAGGTAAAAACATTCCCTTTCCGGCTATATCTAAACTACACTCAACACATAAACATTGTGTTTTGCATACACTACAGCAAATGTCCTCCAAGGGATCAATATCTTGCCTATATGATATCTGAATTTATTTTTTTATTTGTGCTGCCTAGTGATATTTTTTGATGTTTTCGCGAAAAACCGAGGAGTGAAGACAATTTTCAAATTCAAAACATTACCCGAAAAGTTTAAAAACTGGCCACCCTATCGATACTAAAGACAGTAAAATACAGTGAATTGGCTTCAGTGGAAGTAGTGGACTTAGTGCCAATGATTTAGATTATTGCACTTCACTTGGTGGAATTAATATTAGATCATTAATCCAAGTGGAATATATAAATTTTAAGATCTAACCAGGAACGACTGCGAAAAATGCAGCACAACGTCCTCTGGTAGGAATTGAACCTACGGCCCGCAGGGCCTACCTCCATTCCTACCAGAGGACGTTGTGCTGCATTTTTCGCAGTCGTTCCTGGTTAGGTCTTAAAATTTATATATTCCACTTGGATTACAAACCCTAACATTCTAAGACTTAGTGCCAAGCCCGAAATGTACTTTTCTCCAAACAAACTGCGAAAAAAACCCAAATCTAGTATAGACATCGAAAAACACTTGCCAGTACTACCATAGACATGTTTTGATTCAAATGTTCTATATAAATTCAGCCATTCTTCGAAAATATACGTATAAATAGAAATAATACAATGTACAACTCGGGCAAAATTGTTTTTATAAATGTTGTAAAGAGCAAATTGTTTTTCGGCAACTAAAATTTGTATTTGTCTGTCAAAAAGCATTTTTCAAGCATGTCCATGCTGCAAAACGAATCGGAAAATAAATATTTTTACTCTGTTTACCTTCTGTTTTCTTGTTGAATAGAAAAGCATCTATTGCAATGAAACTAAAAGCTTTTTATCCAGCTTTTTTCGCGTCGTTTTAGCAGTTTCTCAGCCATGCTTGCACTAAAGTAACAAACGCAACTGATCTCATATGTACTTCGCAACTGGAATTTTACTGATCGGAATTCATTATAACCATGATTAACTATAAAATAAAAAATAAACACGTTATTTACCTTATTATCCACGTTATTTCTATTCATTTGTTCTTTCAAACTATGTAACCGTTTTTGTAATATTAAACAATTATTTTGTAAATATATATACCATACCCTGTAAATTCATTTAGATTGCTCTGAAGATGTTGTATTGTAAACAACGAAACGTTAGCTAATAAATTTTTACTTTTAAAGTTATGTTTGGTTTTAAAGTTATTTGCTGGGCTCTGCTCTTTAACGTTATTTACCGTTTAGGTCGGTGCGTACTAAAAAATATTTTCCCTCGGCCTCAGAAGCGTCCCTCAGCCTTCGGCGTCGGCCGGGCCGCTTCTGAGACCTCGGGAAAATATTTTTTTCAGTACGGACCTCGCAGCCGGTAAATATCATATTTGTCTTTTCGTAAAAGATGTTCTTTCGGTGAGAATTTGCAACCAACTCAAAGCAATTATGCAAGCCAAGTGAAGTCATTTTATGTGCCTTCGATCAAGTTTATTTGCTGTAGCAGTCATAGCAATAACGTGTTACGTTAGGAAATACAGCACACAATATACTAAGTTTTGTATAACCTCGTTTAATTTAAATCATCCCCCCTAAAAGAAAATTGAGACAACAATATAATGCATGATTGAGAAATATCATGTAGAGTTAGTTTTTTCTTTTGGTCAAGTTCAGCTACATAGCTAGCAATCAATTTCTTCGTTGTCACATTCCAATGGCTGCTGCATGAAAACCATTTCTGAGTTTTATCGCACATAATTTCGAACTGGATTGTTTATCAAAGGCGCATTCGCGATATACTGTAATGAGCAGCACAGAGGTCACGTCATTTACTCATTTACACAAAGGCCCTGAGTTGGACGTTCTTCTACTAACCGCTGTTTTAGCGAAAAGCTTCAAAAGCAAAAGCTGGTAAATCAGCGACTCGCCATAACCGGTTGGCAAAAATGGCCAGTATATACACGCCAAAGGACAGCTTTTCCAAGCAAATAACCTGCTTGGGTTTCAAAATAGCGTTTGCATACAAATATTTATAATAGGAAACTGCAAACAAATAAGAATAAGCTAGAACACATTTTGAATCTTTTTGCATATATTTGCAGCATAAAATTGCCATTTATTGGCATTGGCCGCATTGCGATTGCCATCCGGTTGTTTTAAAGCATGCATGCCATTTGATATAGGATTTAGCACATCCATCGTCACCTTCTGTTCCGCATAGCGGATGTGTTTGTTTTGGCGACGCGTAAAGGAGGATAAAGCCACTTTTGTAGCCTGCGTAGCAGTCGCTAGTCACAACCTTGGGCTTCAAAAGATCATATTTGATTAATAGTTTGTGAGACAACCTAATTTCAAAATCTCGTACACTTTTGAACGCCTCGGCGGGCCCCTCGGAAGGCGAGCAGGCTATGCGAAGGCCGAAGCTTAAAAATCAATATTCGAGACAGGAGTTTTATAATAATATTTATTGTCTTCAATAATTACTTCGTTGCACTGACAACCGTGGCCGTACTAACATTGCTAACATGACATCGTAATGCCATCGACTTATAAGAGGGTCTTAATGGGGGTCTTTGGGTGTCAGTTGTCAGCTAAAATTTAAGCCAATTGTCAGTTGTCAGTGCGATATATTGCAAGCTGTCAGTAGTCAGTTACTGCAAAATGCGGACTTATAATTTTTTTCATCATTTCTCAGTAGTCAGTTAGGATATTTTGTCAGTTGTCAGTCAAAAATTCAGGCAAATGTCAGTAGTCAGTTAACCCCATTCAGACCCTCTTATAATTATTTCGCCAAAATGGCGATTATGATAATCAGGGCCTATCAGAGAAATTCGGAGGCCCGGGGCAAATTTTTTTTTCGGGAGCCCTATCTTTCCCATAAAGGTTGGCGAGCGGGGAGGGGGTGAAAACTTTTTCCGGACATTAAAAAAGGGTCAAAAACATTTTCTGCTCGAATACGAGTTAAACTAAGGTTCAAAAAACTTTTTCCCCACTAATTCCTATTACAACATGTCGGTCATACCATTATTTATAGCAAAAAACGTTAGAATTTTTTTTTTAATTTTGAAAATTTGGGGGCCTTCCTTAAACTGGGGACCGGTGCAAATCGCCCCCAGTGCCGCCCCCCCCCCCTCTGAAAGGCCCTGACCTTTTGGAGAGTGGAAACACTGGTAATGGTCTCTGAAAATCTCTGTGATATTATATTTATAGTCATCGATGGCCAGTCTTGCTGAGGCAGAATCTTTTGAAAATACAACGTATTTCTCGCGAATATTGAGGGTAACAAATGTTCTAGGTATTTCTTTTACAGCCGTACGTAGTGTGGTTGATTGTGTTTATTTAGACTTAACCCAAAATTTTTGTCCCATGTGCGTATATATATTTTTGTTATGAGTTATATATTCAGAGAAGATGCGGCGTGTTATGTTGTTTTTATATGCACAAACTTTTTCAAATTTGGACAATGTTATAAGGCTGCTGAATCGGCAATCGGCTTCCTGTGATTGTTCTAGCGGTACCATATAGTGAGTTACGTGTTGAATGACAACCGGCTAACAAAGTTAATCCTTACACCTGTATTCTAAAAGGTCACTCACATTAATTGAGTGAAGATTCAATCTGAGCATCTCTTGAGTGTCAATGTTGTTTTTAAATAGCTGGAGAGTGAGTAGTCACATAGTAATGTACGACATCAATCCTCTATATAGCTACTGAAAAACAGCATTGACACTCAAGAGAAGCTGAGATTGAACCTCCACTCATTCAGTGTGAATGAGCTTTTAGAATACGGGCGGATCTTTATTTTTCTCTCATGTGCGTATATATATTTTTTCTTATGAGATAAAATGTATGTGAGTACTACCGAAGATCGTGAACATAGTTAAAACGTGTTGTTACCGTGATGGTTAAAGTGTGTGCCTATATAGTAAAGCCGAGTTTCCACTTACAGTGTTAACGTTTTCGCCCGCCGTCGACGAAAATTTGGCGAACGATTTTGTCTTCGTGAGTGTGTTTGGTTCTTGTTTACTTACGTCGATGAAATCTCTAGCATAAGTTAACTGATTTTCAGTGACTGTTGGGGCACGTTAACTCCTCGAATATAGGAATAGGAAAAAATTATGTAAAGAACATTTTTACGCCGAAAACGCGAAGTGGAAAATCGACTTTATGCATGCAGAAAGAAGCGAATACGATTGATCTTTTTTTGCACGAAATGTAGAAAGAAACAAATATGACATAAGTGTAAACGTGTAACGCTTAATTTCCATAAGTTTTAATATAATAGTGGACCATTAATGTAATTTTGAAAGGGGCTGATGGAGAGTTTTTAGGGCTGTGTTTCAATTCGTCCAGGTTTCCCGGTGTAGAAAACGGTGATTATTATCGCTTATTCCTTCGTAAAAAGTTCGAAAACACGCTAGAAACGCTACATATTTCCATGTTTTATTTTCATCTTGTTCAAAATATGTCACCTAATAACCAGAAAAACCGGTTATATGTAATTAAGTAAAATTACTGTAACGTAAACAATGTCAACGATCACGTGAATGTCACGATTGTTACACTCCCCAAAGTTTATTAGCTCTAGTAATAAACTTTCACAAAACAACAAGCAAATTACAGTTTATGTGTCCCTTTCTCTTCGAGCAATCTCTCCAATAATTGCAGCATTACGTCTGGGTCTTAATTCATTGTCAGCAACAACGGGAGATGAAGGATTAGCAACAGGATGTTGTTGTGTTTCTTGGTCGTTATTAGCCTTCACCTCGATTGGGATAAGATGTTGCACAACTCTTCGGAGGTAAATTGGTCGTTTATCACTGTTCGCCACCTTAACTATTGCTGCACGAACCTTTCCATCTGACCCCGGAAGCAGTTCCACTACCTTAGCAAGTTTCCACATACATCTGGCAGTCGATTCTTTCTTCAATAACACAATATCTCCAATTGATATTTCACGAGTATTATTTTTCTGTTTCAGTGTTGATTGTTCCCTTAGACTCGTAAGGTACTCCCTCTTCCACTGTTCTGTTAGTTGTATTAATACATTTCGCTGATGGCGAGCTCTTCTCGCCAGAGATCTATAAGTACTGATGATTTCGTGTTGGGCGCTGTTTGGCGTTGAGCTAATACGTCTACCATATATCGGATTTGATGCCGTTAAAGGATACGATATTGAATCGACATCATCGTAAACGTAGGTAATGGGTCTTGAATTGATCACCATCTCTATTTCGACTAAAATCGTGCGGAGTTCTTCAAAACTTAATGTCGAACGTCCTAATATTTTCTTGAGAGGTCGCTTGACACTTCGAACCAACCTCTCCCAAAAACCGCCCCACCAAGGGGCTCTCTCAACAATAAAATTCCAAGTGATACGATTGTTATGAAGGTAAGGTTAGTTCACATCTTCGGATCTAACGATTTTGAGCAATTCCTTGCATGCCGACTTGAAAGTCTTTGCGTTATCTGAGGTTAGAGTGGCAGGAAGTCCTCGTCCTATTGGTGTAAGTCATTATTCAACCAAGCTTGTTGGCGTTTCTTAATAGAATCTTTAATAACAGGAGTAATCCATGGTTTGTCGTTAGGATGATGTTTCACAGTACGCATGGGGATACAGGAATTCAAAGTAACGTGAACTACCGACTGGAAAGAATCCAGTTGTTCCTCGCATGAATTCAGCCGCATGAGTGGCGTCCAGTTAACAGTATTCAGACGAGAGATCAAATTTTGTTTGTTAGGAGCTCGATAATCACGCTTTTGCAATCGTGTGGTTGGTATACTTGGAGCATGTGTCAAAATAGGTTGTAGTAAGATACTGGAATGATCGGATTGACCAATAGGAGGCAAGATGATGGCATCGTAGTAAGGTGACAGAGTTGAAAAAGCTTGGTCAAGGATATTACTTTCCCTGGTGGGCTTGGTAACCAGTTTCTTCAATCTAAAAGAGTTGCAGAGATTACCCGGTTTAAATTGATTGAAATCACCAAGGACCAAGATGGCAGAATTAGGGAAGGTGGCAAGTAAAGAATGCAAACATTTGAAGATATGCATTCGAAGAACATGGTCATCACTCTGAGGAGGATGGTAAACTGTTCCCAATAAAATAGAGTTGATTCCTCGTGGTAAACGTTCCATTCTGATTAGAAACCATTGACTCTCAATTTCTGGCTCACTCCGGTCAGTTAATTCAGTAAAATTAAGTTGAGAATTGGAATAGGTACAAAGACCGCCCCCGCGTTGATTATTCGGTCTATTCCTTCGGCACGATACATAGCCAGGTATACGAATAAGTTCATCAGTTACTCGTGAATTTAACCATGTTTCAGTAATTACGACAACATCGTATAATTCGGTGAAAATTGATGCTGAGACCTCGTCTAATTTATTGAACCTAAATGATTACTAAACCAAATCTTGGGGAAGCGTGGAATTGCAACTGATCTCCGCAAGGGGATTAATGAACTATAATCAGGGACACTGATGCACTCGGGCCGTTTCTGGGTTTCATGAAATCAGTTGGTTGTTGTGGTACGTAAGAAATTCCTTCATGCTTGAGAGAAGTAACGCACTTTCGAATAACTTTCTTAACCGATTCACGTCCACGAATCACCCAGAAACGTTCCCTTAATGCAGTGAGGGTATCTCGTGTACCGTTGTGCAGTACAGTATGCTTGTGAGTGTGTTCGATAAGCAGTTCGACAAAATAGTGTCTGGAAGGAAGTAAAATCGGATGTATACAGTTCGATGACAAGGTGCTATCGCCAATTCTTCCGACACAACGAACGATTCCCTGTTGATCTACATATAACCCAAATTGCGTGACATATTTCGGCGATGCCAGACACTCTTCCTTCGTTTTCTTACGCGCAAGATATCGAATCTCGTTTTCGAACGGATTAGCTTGTACTGATTTGATCCACGCATTTTCCGCGTCGTTAATTTCCGAGGCAGTCAATTCTCTCTGAACACGATTCTTGACCTTGGAAATAAATTTCATCACCAACACCGTAACACGAAGTAATTTTGTTAATGTGCTGTAACGAGTGCTGTCGATTATCATCTCCACGTTTGCAACAGTGTTGTCAGATGAAGTATTGGCCATCGAGTGAGTGATTTCTGGTGCATTCTTTTTTGCTTCTTGTAGAACCTGTTCGTTCTCTTCTTGTACGGGTCGAGGCTTAGGCCATTCAGCCTCTGGTCGGAGTAAAAACGATGGACCATTCCACCACATCGAATTGTCAGAAAGTTTCTTTGCATTCAGGCCACGAGAGGGTATATCGGCGGGATTAAGTTCACCTGGGCAATGTCTCCACGAATCTTTGAGGGTAAAACTTCGGATCTCGTCAACGCGATGTTGTACATACGGTTTCCATATTCTTTCGTTTTGTATCCAACAGAGGGCAGTTGTGGAATCAGTTCAATTGATTGTTTCTAATTGTCTGATCGTTTTAATTGTTGAAGTAAACTTGTTCACGAGTCTTGCAAGAAGAACAGTCCCTAGCAATTCCAGTCGTGGAATTGTTTGTTTCTTTATCGGTGATACTCTAGACTTTGAGGCTACTAGGCGAACTAAAATGCGACCATCTTCGTAGGCTGAACGTAAGTACAGAACAGCCGCATACGCACGTTCTGAGGCATCGCTGAAACCATGAATTTGTATGTCTATAGGAGTCGACTGAAAATAGCAACGAGGAATACGCACGTCCGTAAGGAATTTCAACTCATCTAGAATTGATTTCCACCTTTGTAATAGATTTCCTTCTAGTTTATCGTTCCAATTAGTCTTAATCAAACAAAGTTGTTGAAATAAAATCTTCATTTCAACCGTGAAAGGCGTTAAGAACCCAATGGGATCAAAGATCTTTGCGGTAAGGCTAAGGACAGAACATTTCGTTTCAGGAAGGGAACGACCATATTTTGCTAATTCGCTTAAGTCAAAGAAAATTTCGTTCGAAATTGTGTCCCAGTTTAATCCTAAAACCTTAACAGTCGAATCATTCTTTTCTTTGAAATTCCCAATCGTAGTTTGCGACTTCGCATATGACTCGTCATCTTCAGTCGTATTAACAATCGGTGCTGATTTGGAATGTTCGTGCAGAGAAGTTTCGTCAGTTTCGATCAATTTCAGGAGATTCGGAGAGTTCGAGTGCCATTTACGGAGGTTAAATCCACCTTTCGCCATGATTTCTTTCGATTTCTTGTACACATTGAAGGCTTTCGCGTCGTTCTCCTCCCCCGTTATCAAATCATCAACGTATAAGGAATCTTTCAACATTTCAACAATTTCAGGCTCGCTTTGTTGAAAACAAACGAAGATGGTGCTCGATCGTAGCTCCCAGAATTGATGGCGATGGTCTGAGACCAAAAACTAGTCGGTTGAAACGATATACAGCAGGCTCGGGATTTGAAGCAAATAGATAGTCATACCATAAGAAACGAAGCATGTCTCTGTCTTCGGGATTGATACCTACCATCAGAAATGCCTTTTCAATGTCACCGGTGAGTCCAATAGCATTCCATCGAAACTTCGTTAGTTGATCGAACAAATGAGGGATGTAATTTTCACCGACTTCTAAACAATCGTTTAACGATCGATTGTCTTTCGAATGTTGGGCTGAACCGTCATACACGACACGGACTTTGGTTGTTTCGCGGTCTTTCCGAATTACAGCATGGTTGGGTGAATAATGAACTCGTTTCAAACTTTGCTCGGTTGCACTTGTTGATTCTTCAACTCTTTCGACAATCCCCTTACGTTCTTGATCCTTAATAATCTCGTGATAGTCATAAAGCAGATTCGGTTCATTCTTTAGTTTGTGGTGTAGCGATCTCAGCCGTGTTTCACACAATCGGTAGTTAGTTGAAGATGGCGAATAATCTTCTTTCCATGGCAGACTGACCTGGTAATGATTCTCTTTGAAAACAGGTTTCACAATTTCACTCGTTATCGCTTCGGATTTCCCTTCAACATCTCGATTATCTTTCATACCAATACTGTCCGTCTCCCAAAATTTTCTTAACACAGTGACAATCTCATCGTTACTTTGATATGGTAGGGATTCCGATGCTCCGGAGATGATTAGGTGAGATGCGGTGTTGTCTACGCTAAATAATGAAATGGTTACTGGGGCAGAAAGAACCCAACCAAATTTACTGTTGATGGCAGTTGGACCATAATCTGCTCGAATCGATTCACTCATAATAATGTCCCAATAGTAGTCGGATCCAATGAGCACATCAATTGTATCGTGGTTGTCGTTATCAAAGTCCTCAGCTAGGTCTAAGTCATGAATGTGTGGGTAATCATCAATGTTCACCGCGGAAGGTAAGGCTGAACATATTACAGGGAAGGTCAATGCAGAAATTTCAATAATTTCAGGATTTCCAGGTTTCTGAAGGCGTAAGTTCACCAGATCACACCTATGATTCTTGCACCGATTCTCTCCGAAGGTGTTGAGTGTGAGTTTCTCACGTTGAACATGCTTCAGTTTTAATTTGGAACGCAAGTCCTCAGTCACGTATGATCGTTGACTTCCTGTGTCCAGAAGAATTCGAACTGGAACAGAATGTCTCCCAGTTTCATCCAGAGCTACTGCCCGTGCAGTTTGCAAAAGAACAGTATTTCGCTTTCTTCGATTCTCGTAACTCGTTGCAGTTGTAACCTTCGTTTTGACGTCCTCGTCTTGTTTCGATTTTTCTTTGGTTTCTTCGACTCTCTTTGCATGCACTGTGTCACATATTGACTGGTGATGACGTTTACTACAGTGTCTTCAATTTTGTTGACTTGAGCATTCCTTCACTTGATGACCTTTTCGAAGGCTATTGTAACATCGTCCGCCTTTTGCAAGAATTTGCTTTCGACTTTCGTAGGATTGCACAACATCACAGGATGCTGAATAATGTAGATTATTGCAGAAAGCACAACGAATCTTGAAGTCCTGTTGTGTCTTTGTGAAAAGTGCACTAGCTCCGAGTGGTGCCTGGGTTTTGTTATTATTTGAAAACTTGCGATTGTCAACTGCACTTGCCCTGTCCCCTTCACTCGATTCTCTCGCTTCGATTTTAGTTTTAACAGCCTCGAGAAGTTCATCTATTTTCCATATTTCACTACTGTTCTTACGAGCTATTTGCAATCTTACGTCACTAGGAAGTTTAGACATAATAATAGGAATTAATAAGCTTCCATATTGCTCAGATTGTACCCCAAGTGAAGCCAAACCTCGCACGTTTACACTGATTTTATCGTATACATATTGTAGTGATGAAAGTCGACAATCTGTGCTCGCTTGAATTTTTAGTATTTCGTCAACATGAGCTGAAATAATAATTTGTGGCTTGCCAATTTCGTTTAATTTACACAGAGAAGTAATTTCGTTATCAAGATCGTTTAAAGTCTTTTGTTTAGCTTCCAATAAACAGTCAGTAACTTCGAGTCTACTTGTCGCTTCGTCGGATAATTCTTGTGATAACAAATCGTATGTTTCCTTTTCGAGTTTCTGGCAAACTTCTCGATGAGCCGCCCTAATCGCTTTTTAAGTCGGTCGATTTTCGACATATTCTAAATCTCTACTTCATGAGCTCGCCCCACGTTGGGCGTCATGTAGAAAACGGTGATTATTATCGCTTATTTCTTCGTAAAAAGTTCGAAAACACGCTCGAAACGCTACAAATTTCAATGTTTTATTTTCATCTTGTTCAAAATATGTCACCTAAAAACCAGAAAAATAGGTACGCAGTGCGTACATGTTGCATGCCACCAAAACCATGAAACCTCATGACTCAGAATACTATACAGAACTCCATCTTCATTGTTTCCTGCGTAAGTGCTATTCGTCATGATTCGTCACTTGGCAAGTACTGGAAACAGAAGCAGTCACCC